TGTGTGTGTGTGTGTGTGTGTGTGTGTGTGTGTGTGTGTGTGTGTGTTTCACAGTCACTGCTCTCCTCTCCCGTAGCCAGCGTTGTCGTGGTAACGGCACCATCAGCGCTGGGTGAAGTGGCAGCTCAGTGAGACAGGGACCTGATTGGTCGGGCGGTGCGATGACGTCACGCGTGTGTTTTCTGACACGTCTCACGGTGCAGGGTTATTATCCCCGAGCTTAGTTGGTGTGTTCAATGTGACATGCGTGTTTAAAGCACCGACAGCAGGGGGATCAGAGGAGGAGGAGGAGGAGGAGGAGGAGGAGGAGGAGGAGGAGGAGTCGTACTGAGCATGCTCTGTTAACTTCCTGTCTTGTGTCTTCCTGACAGAGGACGAGGAGCAGCTGAGGACGTCCAGACTCCGCTCTGAGGACTTCTCTGTTTTTATCCTTGGTCTCTGGACTCAGCAGACTTTTATCTTCAGACGTGGACCTGAAGGATCAAAGCTGGTTTTGTTCTGCTCCCTCTCGTTCTGGACCTTTGGACCTTTGGACCCAGAAGTTTGACAGAAACTTTTTGTTGATTCTTCATTACATCACCTCTTTATCTCACTCTGTCGCTGCTCCTCTGGTTTCTGGTCACAGGAGGAGGAGGAGCCTCCCTGAAGAGCTGCAGGAGGATAAACCAGAGTCTGGTTCAGGGACCACCGGGTGGGGGGTGGGGGGCAGAAACTGGGACAAATGGGATCAGAAAAGGACTCGGAGTCGTCCCACTCCTCGGTGAGTGGCGTCCCAAACCCAAAGTGCCGTACGGCGGGCAAACAGAGCCGCATCTCCTTCAGCCTTTTCCACAGGAAGCGGGGGTCCCGAGGCAGCAGGGGGTCCAAAGGAGGAGCGGCCCCCCCTTTAACGCAGCAGCTGCACACGTCCGCCTTGACTTCGCCGCCCGCCGCCGCCGCCGCCTCCGGGACGCCCACGGCGGCCGATAAAGACGGCGTCTGCAGCACCCCGTCCAAGCCGCTGTCCTCCAGCCAGCCGTCCCTCGCCTCGGGGGAGTCCCAGCTGCTGGAGTGCCCGCTGTGCCTGGTGCGGCAGCCCCCCGAGCAGCTGCCCGAGCTGCTGGGCTGCAGCCACCGCTCCTGCCTCTGCTGCCTCCGCCAGTACCTCCGCATCGAGATCACGGAGAGCCGGGTCCAGCTCAGCTGCCCCGAGTGCGCCGAGAGGCTGGCCCCCCGGCAGGTGGCCGACATCCTGGACGACGCCGCGCTGCTGGAGAAGTACGAGGAGTTCCTCCTGAGGAGGTGCCTCGCCTCCGACCCCGACTGCAGGTGGTGCCCGGCGCCGGACTGCGGGTAAGAACCATGTCCAAGGGGTGCTTGGTCCAAAGAGCCCCAACTGAACTTTGTTTTTTTCTAAGGTTTCAAGCAGCTTAACATCAAACAGAAGCTAAACTTTCACAAACAAAAAGATGAAATGAGAAAATATTTAATCTCCAGGAAATATTTAATCTCCAGGAAATATTTAATCTCCAGGAAATATTTAATCTCCAGGACTTTACAGAAGCTGTAACAGCAGAAGCAGCACTTTAAGAAGGAATTCATCCTGACCGCTGACTTTAATCCCAAAGATTGAAACAAATAACTTGTGTTGCGTGTTCGTGCTCAGAATATTCATTGAACTGGACTCTCAGCTACTACCACACCAAGTTTCACCTTCATCTCTGTAAAACTGAGTTATGGACAACTTAACTTTGCTAATGTTGATGGCTGTGGCGGCCATCTTGATTCAGGGCTGTTCCAACATGTTGTAGATGTTCATTGATTAGATGCACGTGACGAGTTTGATTTAAATCAGTTCAGCGGTTCTTGAGATATTTTGCTAACAGACAAATGGTGACAACATCAAAGTTTAATGATGAAGTTTTAGGTCAAGGTTTTGTGCAGTGTGTAGAGCTCAGATTACATGTTGAGGATTATTCTCAGCTACCACCACATCGTGGCAGGGAAGCTGTTAAACGACTCGCTAAATTAAGAAGCGGTCCAGACGTGAAGTTCTGTGTCTCGGCCCGCAGGAGCAGCTGTGGGTGGAACGATAATCACATGAAGCTGCCGGTCTCGGCCCATTTGGGCCACGTTCAGAACTTCCTCCTGAGACTTTGTCTCGTTTCCTGAGTCCAGGTGGGAAGTTTTGTTGCGTTCAGTGAACAAACGAGGAAGTGCACGTAAGAATTGTTTATTCTTTTGTGACGGATGTTGAAGAAAGTTTAAATGTGGCCGAGGAGTCTGTGGATCAGGAAGTGGGTCAGAAGGCCGAGGAGGCGTTCGTTTAGACAAACAGCCGAAGTGAGTCAGTGTCCAGCTGTTTGGTGTCGAGGAAGACGGATACTTCTGCTGTGGTTTGACTCAAAACCACCAGGAGAGAGGAGGAGGAGGAGAGAGGAGGAGGAGGAGGAGGCCCACAGCAGCAGCTCCTGCTGAGGAAACAAACGTAAAACATTTACACACAATTAATGAGAATCGTTTAAAAGCTCGGCTTCTTAAAGAAAAACTAAAGCTGGGAAAAAAACCCTGACGTTTTCTGTGAAAATGGAGCAGCATTGATTTTTATTATCAGACTGGGAGTTTGTTTTAAACTACGCTCCATGTTTCTACAGTCGTCTCGTCGCTGCGTTTTCTGCTCTGTCCTTGTTTATTCAGTGAGTTGTCCATGAGCGAGGACAGGACGGAGGACAGGACAGAGGACAGGACGGAAGACAGGACGGAGGACAGGACGGAGGACAGGACGGAAGACAGGACGGAGGACAGGACAGAGGACAGGACAGAGGACAGGACGGAAGACAGGACGGTAGACAGGACGGAGGACAGGACGGAAGACAGGACGGAAGACAGGACAGAGGACAGAACAGAGGACAGGACGGAGTCTCGCTGGACGTCTTTTAAACCTTTCGTAAATATCAGCTGTAGAAGTTCAACTTAACTCTCCCTCTGCAAACAGATGTTCCCTGCAAACATCTGGAGTGACTCCCTGCACACAAAGAAAACAAAAGAATCACATTAATGTCCTTACACAAGTTTATATTTTCTGGTAGTTTGTCAGTGTTTGTGGTAGTTTCAGTCAGGGTTTGTGGTAGTTTAAGTTGGTGTTTCTCATAGTTTAAATCAGTGTTTGTGGTAGTTTAAGTCAGTGTTTGTGGTAGTTTAAGTCGGTGTTTGTGGTAGTTTAAATCAGTGTTTGTGGTAGTTTAAATCAGTG